TGTTATTTTCTTTGATTCATTTTACACTATTTTACAAAGGTAAATGGGGATTGATTTATCTAATCAAAGATCATCTCCAGAAAATAATATTTCTTCCATTCTCTATAGCATCATTTTCAAACGATCATGCCTGATTTAAATATACAATGACATTTTAGTTGAAAGATTAAAATACGAGCCCATGCAAATCTAATAAACCCACGATTATGCCACAAAGCAAGCATTTCCACAGAGAAACTTTAAGGAATGTTGACGGAATTCTAAATTTCCTAATTTGAATTTAATTTCTTTCTTAATTTTTTAATCTGTATGCTGAAATGTATGACCATTCCAAGCTTAGATTATGAAATGTTCAAAATCACTCCTGATTTTATTTCCTGTGAATTTAAGTCATACAGAACCTTCGGAAGCATTCGCAATGTGCACAGCCTTTAGATGTACAGTTTGGGGGAAGAATAAGAAAAACATATTGAGTGATTTAAGCAAAATAAGTCAGACAAAAAAAGTCGAGGACCATATGATTTCACTGATATGTGGTATATAAAACTGAAAACAGCAAAGGAACAAGACAAATGAAGAAACAAAAACTCATAGACACAGACAATAGTTTAGTGGTTACCAGAAGGCAAGCGGGGAGAGGGGTGGTAGATGAGGGTAAAGGAGGTCAAATATACAGTGATGGAAAGAGAACTGACTCTGGGTGGTGAACACACAATGTGATATACAGATGATGTGTTACAGAATTATACACCTGAAACCTATGTAACTCTACTAACAACTGTCACCCTAATAAACTTTAATTAAAAAAAAAAAAGATCTTAAGCCAATACAGGAAATTGTTAATGTAATAACAATTGGTAGATATGACTGTCAGTTATTAATATTCTTTCTTTTTATGTTTGAAATATTTCAAAATTAAATATGTTAAATTAAAAAAAATTAAAAAATAAAAATAAAGCTCTACATCTGTGTGTTCCTGGGTTTAAGGAGCATAATTACTCTTAACTCAGAGGTGAGAAGAGGCAGCACCAGGCCTGGGGCAACAGCCCAGCAAAGCAATAGAGGCCAGCAGGAGGCAGCAGCAACGTGTTGGAGACTAAGAGGAGGAGTGGGTTTCGTGGTGGCTGGACACTAGGCGGGCAGTAACCGGACCCGGGAAGGAGAAGTTTACAGGTGGGGGTATCCAACTACAGCTCCTGGGAACACACATTTTTATACACAGAATGAAAAGCATTAAGACACCAGCTATTTATTTCTTACCGTGCTAGGTACTTTCACCCAGAGTATAAAAAAATCGACCTATTACAAAGGAAAGTATTGCAGCAAGTATGAATAAGCTTAAGACACAGTTACTACTTTCCAAGGGATTATTATAATGACCCATCTGTAGAAAGAGGGCTAGCAGAATATATGAATTCTCCTTATCTAAACAGTAATTGCTCCTACATAAGTATACTTGGTTTTAAAACTAAATAGGATGACTTTGTTCATATCTTCACCACCATTACCATCTAATAAAATGCAGGAAAGTTTTAAAAGCAATACTATCCTCTCAAAAACAGGAAAACAAATGGAATGGTTGTCTGCGACCATGGCGGTCACAGTTAATTGTATTCATTATCCAAATATTAATGAGCAATGAGTTACAGCTGTGAGGATTAAACAGCTATGAAGGCAGTCCCTGCCCTGGAGGAGCTTGGAACAGCATTAATAAGATATAAATTTTATTTGGCAAAATACTCTGGGGGAAATATGACAAAAACGTTACGTTTTGCCTAAATAGGTATCTCTAAAGGATAAAATAAGAACTATCTGCACTATTCAACTCTACCTTTTACTTACAAGATACACAGAGGAGTACATCATAAACATCTGATCAACTTGCCAAGAGAATGACTGAATAAGTTATTTTATTTTCAAGTTGCCAGTTATGACTTATAATAACAAGATGAACGTAATCCTTATATTGGGATATTCTTTGGAGGTTAATCTAGTCTACATACTATTATCATATAGTATAAACTACATAAATTTATCAAAGAAGGCTTCCAACTAATAGTGGCATCATTCTGACCATGACTTTTGGTGTTTGCAGACCCTCACAATCTGTTTTAGATCTACTGCGTTTTTATCTCCTTAATCGGGCCATAAAATAGTCTTTGAGCTTCACTGAAAATCAATCCAGTGCTCAATAAGCACTTATTAACAGAGACATAATATGATATTCTAATTTTTCTTCCAATTTTCTTTCTTTTTTTTTGGGTCCAGAATCTGAAACAATGATTGTGCATATGACTTTCCAGGGAGACTTGGTGTTTTTATACAAGCAATAAATCCAACAGTTCAGCAACACAGAATCTGCTTACAATCTCCCTGTAGTATTTTCACTTCCAGTATTCTGTCACTAGCATTTATAATGATTCTAGACTTAACAAGTTCATTCAACAAGACTGAAAAAAAGTCTTTCCGGGTTAGAAAAATTAGTTGTTTCCTGTTGTCATTTAAACAACTTGCCCCTTCTTATTCTCTTTTTGATATCTACCAGATGGTGTCTTTTAAAAAATGAATGAATATAAAACAGATTGATAAGTTATTGACCTTAACAATTTTGTCTCGGGATTTGTTTTTAACCTCCCTCCTAATGTTTGGAGAATGTATAGGGCCAACGAAGACAGTTTGGGACCTTGGGGCTGGTAAAATATTCAATTTCCCTTTTCCTTCATTGATTATTTATTTTAAGTATAAAATGATAAAAGGCCAAGAAAAAAGCTTTACATAATTTCTGTGTAGCTTCTCATGGTAAATAGGTGCATGTTTACAGTGAAAACAAGCACAGAGTAAAATGTGACTTTAGTTACAGGTTTTAATTAATTCCATTTACAGGATTACTTTCATATTTAGGCATATGAGCTTTTAAAAGTACTAAAGATACAGATAAGAGGCTAACCACATATCCTGCTTCCCCAGACAGTCTAGTTAATATGTGTCTTGTATGGTTAGTGCACCTTCTACTCTCCAAAATGTTTTGGTTTGAAAGAAAAATTTATAATCACCCTAGAGATAAACCAAATTAACATCATGTGGAAATCATAGTTTGATCAATAAATATCTGAAATACCTCAAAAAGATCAATTGTTCAAAAAAACTCTCAGAAAAATTATTTTTCAATATTTTTGTTACCAAGCACTCGAATGTGTTAGAAAGACATGTTCCAAAATTTCAGCATTGAATCCAAAGTAATGACAATAAGGCCATTTAACTGGCTGAGAAGTCATTGGTGTCAAGCCATTACTAACCATTATATTTAGACTTTCAAAAATTGTGAAGATAAATAATTTAGAAAGATTCTCATTAAAAACAAGTCACTTAAAAGTTAATTTAAAAAAGATATTTCAAAAGATTTTTAGAATCCTTTTCTAGCAATGTATTAGAGTTTCAGAAAAAGAAACAGCATTCCATTATTTTAAACAAGGCAACCTTTTTTGTGTATGTGCTATGGACCTGGTTAGGCCACTTTTGAAGCTTATGAACCTCTAAGAAAAATATTTTTAAATATGTAAAATAAAATACAAAGTATTACAATGGAAACCAATTATACTGAAATACAACTATTAAAATATCAAAATATGTTTAAAACTAATGTGATAAAATAATATATGGCCTCTTCATTAACCCATTAAATAACATTACTGAACAGCAGGTCTAATAACTTTCATAAAAATTACCAAGTAGTGATGAAAGTAAATAATATTCTGAAGTTATCTGCAATAACGATAATGTAACCTGAAAAGTCACAGGTACTGATCATGATACTCTAGTTTGTTGACTACATTCACAATCAGGGAAAATTTTCATTAAGAAGTTAGTGAATATGAAGTTTTGATTTTTTTTTCCCAACCATGTTCATGACCTTTTCGAATTCTATAGTTATAAGTACAACATTAAGAGAGTCTAAACAAACCAGTTTATCATATGTGCATAATTAATTCTTCAAATAACTACTAAGCTTTGTGATCAGGCTATAAAACAACATTTATAAAAACAAAAATCCACTGAATGCTTAAAAAAAATAAAATAAGGCTCTCACTGAAAATTTAGTTCAGTTTATTGTATGAGTGAGAGCTGTCAATATAACGCAGTATACATCAAATGTACTGAATGGAAACACAATGGGTGTTTTCTAGAATTTTTAAAAACCTAAAAATGAAAAGTCCCTAAAATACAGACATGGCATTTTATATTAAGAAGTATGTCCCTTATCCCTATCACTAATGTTTTAAAATCAAAGATATATTTTTATCCATAATTTTCTTCAGGTTTACATTTTCTTAATTTAACAGTATAATATGTTAATTGACTGTTTAAACTTTTCTGTCTCAGAACTTTGAATAAAATCCAATAAGGACACCAAATGCATACGCATATAAGCTTACATATTAAGATAATATTGTATATAAAATTTTATAGTCTGTCCTTTCTCTTAGCGTTATATACCATGAACATCTCCCCACTGAATTAAAATTGTTTCCAAACCATCATTAATGTGAAAGTCTGTGTTTGGTAGTTATTAAAGTAATAAAGTTTAAAGACATTATAAGCAATAAAGTTATCTTATTATATAATATTTGATCACTGGATTATGAAGGCTATCACTGGATCAGGTAACTGAAATGCATTACATTGCTCTATATCAAAATTATTTAAATGTATGTTTATAAGATAGTCTTTGAGAAAACTTAAATGCAAATGGCTAACCTCATTGTGGTTAGTTACACCAATTGATAGTTACACCAATGGTGAGAGAAAACAGTCTTGACAGTTCTGTTTTTCTAGTACCATGACTTAGATAACGCTGATATTTCCTCTTACCTAATCCTAGCCTGAGTAGCAGAGATTGTTAAAATTAATGTGCGCACACCCACATACACATATCCCTCTCCTCACACACTCGACTGAAGAGTGGTAGGTAACCTTTTAAAAAACAACCAAAGTCACAATACCTGTATAAGCTCAAACGGTTCACTTCCTTCTTCCACCACAATTAATTGAGATCTGCCTTTCCTTTCATTGTCCCGAATAGCAATGGCGACCTGGCTTGCCTTCAGACGCTCGTATTTGTTACATGAGGAACCACACCATTGATAAATTTCCTAAAAGAAAGAGACAGATCTTTTGACTCCAGGAATATATGGAGGACATGCAGGCATGCTGCAATACACGTCACTATGTGCATTAAATATGAAGAAAAAAAGGTATAAAAAAATAAATAAATAAAAATACAAGGTGATGGAAGGAGACCAAACTTTGGGTGGTGAGCACACAATAGAGTATACAGATGCTGTATTATAAAGCTGTACATCTGAAGTGTATATAATGTTTTTAACCAATAGTACCCCAATACATTTAATAATAACAATGATTTAAAAGTATCTACTGTTGAGGTACATATGATTTTACATATTTAATTTATACCTCATTCTGTATCTTGTTGCTCTCAGCATTATAAAGTAAGCATTTTTTTAAACATGGAAAATATACATATTTCACCATTCTTTGTGTATATAATCCACTAAGTACAATTTATGAAAGTAAACTTATATAGGTTACTTAAATTTAAAATAAATAACAAACCACATTTCAGAAAGGTGATCAAGAATCTGTTATAGTAATATGCTCTTGATGATCATAAAAACTGATACAACACTTTGTAAAGCAATTTAACAACTCTTATCAAGAGCCATAAAAAGAGTTAAAACCTTTAACCTAGTAATAGCATTATCCAAAATTTATGTTAATAAATTATTCATAAAAAGAAAAAAACCACACATACAAGGTTTTTTTTGCTATGTGATTATATTAGTGAGGCACTGGAAATACATTCAATGTTCAATAATAGGATAACAGTTACATAAATTAGGATACATAGGAAAAAGATACTTAAATATCAAAGTTACATTTTTCAAAAAATAAACAGAACAACAGTTTGATATATTGTAAATTAAATGAATTATATTAACTGCCATTTAGATCAAAATACTACATATTTTAGACTTCCGTACAGTGTTCAGAAGGTATACAGATACAAACATAAAATGGCAATATCATTTTCTCCATTAAATGTGGTTTGAAAGAGACGTTTAATGGCACCTAGTGGTGGGCTATGGGAATGGGCATTGTCACGCACTAGTAGGGAGGTATAAACTAACATGGGCTTTTTTGAGGGCAGTTTGGGATCATATTGAAAAATTACATGTGCTTTTACAATCAGGAAATTCAGTTTCTAGGATCTAGACTATAGAAGTATTCAAGCATGGGATACAAAAAAAAAGAAACAAACAAATAAAAAATGTTTCATCATTAGAAAGATGGCCACATAAAAGTCATTAAATGGATACTGCAGACATACTCTTCAGTTGTTAAAAACTGAGGAAAAGGTTTCTATATATACATATACTATATACATGTATATGTGTGTGTGTGTGTGTGTGTATACACACACACACACACATTTTTTTTTTTATTTTTAGGTTTCAATATTGGTGTAGAAAATTGTGCAAGGTATATCATCAAGAATAAAATAAAGCCATAGAATAATATAGTTCCATAGAATAATGTAGAAACAAAAACATAGGCTATTTCTGTATTTGCAGAAAAATATTTTCAAAAACACTGTTTTAACACATGGGGTGGGGCAGGTATAGGCAGAAAGCAAGCCTTCAATTTTTATGGTATCTAAGTCAGTGATTTTTCCTTTTTTTAAAAAAAAGTCACACCCTTATGGGCTGGCCAAGTGGCTTAGCTGGTTAAGAGCTCGCTCAAGAGTGCGAACTCTGAGCAACAGGGTCGCCAGTTCGATTCCTGTCCTGAGCTGAGCTGTAGCTGAGCTGCCGAGAGTTGTCAGGATGGCTCAGCTAAAAAAAAAAAAAAAAAGCACACATTTATTAGGTGTCTATTATGAGCTAGATAGTGGCATAGAGAGATGAATGAGAGAAAATCAGCAGGAGACAGTTGACATGTAGACAAATAATGCTAATAATATATTTGCACTAAATTTGGCTTTCAAAACATTTCCACATGTACTTTGGAGGCAGTTAGCATTGTGGTTAACTGTGAAGGAGACAGACCTTGGTGGCTACTCACTGGCTATGTGAGCTTTCATTTGGAATTTTTTAAAAAGCAAATAATAACAGCAAGACAAAAGAGCACCCAAGCATTCAAAGACATTGGCTCTTTTTTTCTGATTACAAGACATTTCCAGAGTCATTTCTTCATTCAAAAACAGTTTACTGATCACTTAAAATGGAGCCGGCTCTCTTTCAGGCCCTGGAGGTACAACTTTGAGCCACATCGGCCTGTGACAGTCGCCCTGATCCCTCACTGTCCCCCAGTTCCTGACTGACCTAGTCTACATTCCTCTTTACGAATAAAGTATACATTTTAGGAATTCAAGCCTTCATGAGAAGTAAAATAAAAAGGACAAGGCTTTGCAATCCTTTTCACTCTAGAATCTGATATATTCAACAGGTCAGAGGACGTTTTTTTCTGTTTCTAAGAGAATTGTGCACTTCTACTGTTTCCTCTCTAACCTCCCTTCTACATTTGGGCCTCGGGCTATGAGGCTCATATGTGGAGGGAATTTGAATACCATGCCCAGGAGAGCAGGTACAAGCAGTGAAAATAAATGATTCCTAAGGATCCGTCAATGCCTAATGGCATTAAAATCAAGTTTTGGCTATTTTTAAAAATACAGCTACCTAAGCCTTACCTGTAAGGACTCTAGGTATATTCTGGGCAGCACTGTTTATTGAACACTCCCCAGGTGACTCTAGCATTCTCTCAGGGCTGAGAACCCCTGCTGGTCGCCCTGAACACGTGACACATGGCAGCCATTACAGGGAACCTGTAACATCTACTTGTGAGATGCAGCCAAGCAGGCTACTCTCCTGAGCACACCTAGGTCGGCTCTTAGCTCAGATTCCTCTCCTACCTGATTCCATGTGATTTTGCAAATGATTCTTTTCTCAATAGGTCTGAGAAAGAAAACTGCTAATGTTTACATGACAGTGAAATTGAGTAAGCAGATCAGAAGCTAGCACCCTAGATTTCTCAAATTTACGAGCAACTTTCATCACACACTTGCCCTGTATTTATATCATCGTCTAACAGTTGTGTATGTTCTCCCTACCGTAGTCGTTTAATGACCTCTCATCTACTTCAAAGAGATTATATAAAATCACACAAAATTTTATTAGCATCTGTCAAGCATTATGGAAGCTTGGCAAAATGTGTTTAAAAATGAATTGTGGATAATTTTATAAACATAATTATTATTTAATGTAGAATTTTACAATATTCTGTGGATCCCAAAATATTTTCTACGATACTACATTGGGTTGGGAGTTTTTATGTGTAGTATTAATGCACACATAAATTCAGTTGTAGGAAATACTCCTCACCATTGTGTAGAGGCCACATTTTCTACCTTTAAAATAGAAAAAAAAAATCTGGGAAATACTCATAAAAATAAAACTTTTAAGAGTGAAGTTTTCCTTTTAACTCAAAGATAACTAAGTCACTAAAGAAAGCGTTACAGAAACCTTTTACTGACCATGAAGATGAATGCTTTGTGTTATGCTTACTCTTATTTTCACCTTACTTTGTGCTACTACTTCTATACAAGTGACATCTCATTTACTAGCTTAATTTTCAATGATTTATTCAGATAAGAAATGCAATAGAATATGGATTCTAATTATGAACTGCGAAAAGTCAGAACTGTTTCAACAGTCATATTAATTAAAACACCCTTTTCATTCAATGCTAATTAATTTTCTTATTATAGCTGCAGCACATTTAAACGTGCTTTAAAATCTGACACAGAATTTTAGCAATTCATTAAATCTGAGCAATTTTTACATTCCACCATGAATGGGTGATGTGTTTAGGGCATCCCATTTGAACAGAGCTCTACTGTCCTAAAAAACACATGAGTGTACATAGTACTATTAATAAACTGTGCTGCTCAACACTCTATTTAGAGGTAATTGGTTAAGGCTACTTCACCACTCTGTGCACAAGGAAACTTTGTACTCAATTGGCACATGTTTGAGAAATTCTCTCCTATGGTTCAACCTACCCTGTTTCTCAGAGGGAGTGGGATGCAAAAAGGAAACTGCAAAGAGCTAGAAAATGTCTGAATTGATGAGATAGGTTGATCTGTATTAGTACAACAAAAACTTTTCATTATAACTTAAATTGTTCTATTTATAATACTTTACTGGGATTTAAAAGAGAAACATTTTGTAAACCTGACTTAAGTGGAAAATCATAAAGCAAACATGGTTTCAGAGGCAACTGTTGGATGCTCTAAGATCTAAAGAATTTAACAGCTCAACACTAAATGTTATTATTTCTTTAGGGAAGAGACACAAAAACTCCCTGTAAATATGAGTATCCACTCAATTCAAAATGAAGTCCACTTAAATTCTGGCTGAAATTTGTTAATATACATAGATGGCCCATGAACACTCTCTACTAGAAGTTTGGGGAATTATAGTTAACTCTTAATATACAAACTCTTAAAGGAAAACAAAACTACTCTGGATGATTGAAAAAGGAAGAAACAGGAGAGTCAAGACAATCTGTGGCAATTAGTTTGGTCCACTAGTAACAAGAAATAAAAGCAAATGAGTGATATTTAAAGAAACAACCCCATTGGGGGCAAACAAGAGGTTTCTAAAAATTCCTTTCAACTATGTAGTCAGAGTTAACTAGTAAGACATCAAAGTGCAGCCAAACCTCATTTGGGAACAGGAAAAAAGAGCAGCGATAAAACAATGTTCAATGATGCCCTGAAGGGAAGCAAGATTTTGACAAGCTGAGTTTAAAGGAACACCCCAAACAGCCCATGTGATGTTGAGTCATAACACGTGCAAAAAGTTCAGCACAGACTCCTACCCTTTTGTGCTTTTCTAAGTTACTAATTCTAAATACATCTAAAACGTTCTAAAAGGAGAAGGGGGACCAGACCTCTTCCTTGTTTCTATTGGCTTTATTTTGACTGTGTTTAGTTTTCCCTTAGATCTAATCATTCAGATGTACCTCTAGGCTGGAGGTTCTCCAAGCATAACTTAAAAATGATAATGA